AAATTGATAATATAAATTAAAATTTGAAAAAAATAAATTAAGTTAATAATTAAAAAAACATTCAAATGAAAAAAAATATTTAAATACATAAAAAGGAAGAAAAAAAATGTATAAAATAAAGAAATTACTGAAAAGATAAGTTTATAAATATAAATTTAAATGAAATTCATAATAAAAATTAAAATTTGAAAAAAAGAAATTAAGTTAATAATTTAAATAAAAAAATGTAAAAAATAGTGGCGCTATGGCCTATAGCGACACAATGTCGCTATAGGGCATAGCACCACTTTTATAAATATTTAAATAGATAAAAAGGAAAAAAAATATGTATAAAATAAAGAAGTTACAGAAATAATAAATTTATAAATATAAATTTATATGAAACTGATAATATAAATTAAAATTTGAAAAAAAGAAATTAAGTTAATAATTTAAAAAAATAATTTACCGAAATTAAATAAATTTTTGTAAAACAATTTACTGGAATGTTGAGTATATAATAATTTTTAACAGATATATTTTATTTAAAAATTGTGTATAGTGTATAATAAAAAATGAAAAAAAAAATAAATTTTTTCTAGGGATAGAATTTATTTATATAAATAAAAATAATAAAAAAAACATAAAAAAATGAATTAAAAAATAATTTAAAAAAAACTAGTACAATAAATCTGGAAAAAAGAAAAGAAAAGAAAACAAAAAAAAGGCTGATGTCGCTATGGGCCATAGCGACATTGTGTCGCTATGGCCCATAGCGACATCAGCCTTTTTTTTTTAGTTTTTCGTTTTTTTTTACCTAAAGTCGTTATGAACTATAGCGACAAAAAGACGATATGGCCCATAGCAACATCAGCCTTTTTTTTTGTTTTTTGTTTTTTTCTTTTTTTGTGTTTTTCTACTTTTTTTCCCTTCACTTTTTTGTGTGTGTGTTTTTTATTTATATTTCTTTCCTCAGTTTTATTTTTTCATGTGCTTTTTTTAAATAATTATTTTTGTGAGTTTTTTTATTTTTTCTCCTTCAGTTAATTAAAATACATTTGTAAAAGGAAAAAATAAAAGAAAAAATGTCAAATATCAAATTAACTGAACGAACAAAATAAAAAAAATGCATAAAAAATAACAATAAAATATAATTTTTCAAAATAATATATAAAATAAATCTGGAAAAATTTTAAAAAAATAAAAATAAAAAAAAGGAAGTCATTATGGCCCATTGCGACTTTGTGTCGCTGTGGGCCATAGCGCCTCCAGCAAATATATAAATTTTATTTTAAAAATCTTCTTTTGTTGTACAAAAATTATGAATATATTTTTAAAAATCAAATTTTAAATGAATTATATTTTAAATAATATTTTATTTCTATTAAAAATTATTTTTTATTATAAAATTTAGCCATTTAAAATGGTTTTGTAGTCTGTAAAGACACTAGTTAAGTCGCTATAGGCTGTAGCAACTTTTACGTGACTAAGTTTAAGCCGTTCTCAATTTAAAAAAAAAAACTGCCACTTGGCAAGGATGTCGCTATAGCCCATAGCCACATTGTACAAAATAGCCCCCAAAGGTGTAAATAGTTTCAAAACAGCTTCATTTACGTAAATAGTTTTAGAAACTACCCTACAATGGTCAATCAGCCTTCTATACATGTTCCTTTCATCTTTCTTGAACATCGAATCTTTTTATTTAGTATCTTGGAGAAGATGATTGTTGCAAAATTTTGAGTCCAACTCACAAGTTTGCTTCATCTGTCTTCAATACATCTCCTTGTGATGGGAGGTGATTGTTGACTCATTTAATGCAAGCATTAAATGCATTTCACCAAATGATACCTCTTATCTAATCAAGGAAGTTGCTTATCATCTTTCTATACCAAACAAAGCTTGGAAAAGCAATGCCAGCACAGAGCAACAATAGTAGCGACTTTATCTACCTTTTTTTCGTGATTTTAGGAATCTTCATCCATGGTTCTAACGGGATGCATAATTTTGTTCTCTTTAACAAATTTGTGAGTTCCAATATGATTTTCTAATTCAATTTTTTAAGGATCAAGCATTCAAATTGAAGTTTGACATTAGCCTCAATAAATAATGAACATTTAATGGATTGATTCAAGTGGATTGATTTTTACAAGTACATTCTTTTAAAGACATGTATTTTCTCGCATTCACTTAGTTCTATCATCATTCGATATAACATTTGAAACAAATTAAAAGATCACAATAGAGCAACAAAAATGATATTCAATTTTAATTCTTAGAACATGTCAAACTAAGTGTGCATACAGATAATGTGTGTTATAGTTACATTTCAAAGATTTTAAAGCTAAATCAAAGCATACAAAAGTATTTTATATATGGCATAAAATGCTTGTTTTATCTCTTTCTTTTTTATCACTCATATCAAAGCACGCACACGCACACACACACACACACACACACATATATATATATATATATATAAGTTAATCACCAATACACTGCCAGTGTAAAGTTTTTTTACACTGGCAACCAATCATATCTTTTAATAGTGACATATCAATTGCTTATTTAATGAAATAATAATAAAATAAGCAACATTAAAATATATGATTGGTTGTCAGTGTAAAAAACTTTACACTGATAGTGTAGGGATTATTAACTCTCTCTCTCTCTCTCTCTCTCTCTCTATATATATATATATATATATATACCTCAAGTTCTATATGTAGTGTATAGAGGACTCCCTTAAAAACATGTATGATTTGAAGAATATAACTTGCATCAAACTTTGCCATTAGAGCAAAACATGCATAATATATAATATAAAACTTGTTCAAAGCAAAGATTTGCTTAGAATTAGAGTGAAAATTGTAAAATTTTTCTAAATTTTAAAAAACTTTGATCAAAGTAAAGAAAACAAAAACTTTAATCATTCTCCTCATTTTGGCACCAACAAAAGCTAGTCTAAGTCATCCTTCTCATCAAAGCTCATGTCGATATTGAGGTGAGACAACAACCTTTTGAATTTGCTTTCATATCGTGCTTGCCTCCTCAAAGTGTATGATAAAGCTCGATAGAGGCCAACAATCACCTTTTTGCGATCCTCTTCAATGGCGAGTAGAGGAAGAGGTGGAGTTGTTGGTGGTGAAAAAGAAAGTGAAGTAAAAGGGTCCAGTTGCTCTGATGCTAGCAACTTGAACACTCTCTTATATAGAAAAATTATATTCCCAAACAAAAAGATATGAAAAGTAATATCACATGAGGAATAATAGTGATACAGACTATGTCTAACAGATAAAATGTTGAAGTTTATTAGCTTAGTCCTAGAAGGGAGACGATAGACTACAAAACATTTTCCTTTGGCTAGTGGAAACCGATTTAGTTTGATACCTGCAAGAGAAATGTCCTGTGAGGTATGATGACGTGCATAACGCTCATGGCGTTTGTCAAGCTCATATTGAGGTAGTTTCTCCTTGCCCTTGTAGATGGAGCAAATTGTTCCTTGGGGACTATGTCTTGGGTGTAGAATTTCATCTAGGGTTGAATTATCCATGGTATGTATAGCTCCCCAAGCACAAAGGGAAGGTTGTGAAAAGTGCCTTTTTGTGTTTCACTCAATAGAAACTCTTGAAGTTAGTGGATTATGCATTTCATTCCATTACTGCTTGACAATGTGCATGGTTTAACCATCCAACCAAGGAGGATTGAGTCAGAAGTGATTTATTGAAAGAATACTTGTATCTTTGTTGAAAGATAGTGAAACTCAATTTAGTTGGATTGAGAACTAGATGTAGTCTTGGTGGTTAAGACAAACCAATATAAAAATACCTAGTGTTCCATTTTACTTCTCTTTACACTCCATTTGACTAGCGTTATTACTTCACTACCAAAAACGTGTGTTTTTTATACACACTATTCAACTTCCCTTTCTAGTGTTTTTATATATATATATATATATAATATGTTGACAGTTGATATCCTCAAGGCTTAAGAATAAAATGTTTCTATAATAACCAAGGATAGTTAGTCGAAAGATATGTTAAAGTAGAGACATGTTTTTGCTTGTCATAAGAGAGAGAATACCGTTTTGGTACATATTGTGTTGCATATGTGAGACTCTCTTCCATCAAAAGTTACATGAAGATCCTCCCATACATTTGATGTAAATTCAAACGAGAATAATGTTTTCTCTAAATGGATCCTTTAAGACATGCTTATCTAATGAAGACTTGGAGAAGATCAAACAAGATTTAGACAAATATTTTATATGATTTCAATATAATCGAACTTTTCATGAAAGTCTTTATCGAAGAATCTTTGTGGATGCACACTTGTAATCTTTTGCTTATATTAATTTGTGTCCTTAACCAAGTGTTGCATCTTTGCTAAAAACATTATAAGTTGACGTTAATGAGTTTTTCTTTATATACTACTTGCAAGTAATCTTAGGTCAAGATGACAAGTGTAGAGCTTGAAGAGACTGTGAAAAATACTTTGGTTAAGTGATTCTTGGGATAAGATTACATAATTGTAGTATGAAAAAACAATAAATAATTGATTTTAATAGGTTATGTTATAAAGGAAATATTTCATGTTGAAGGGACTAGACATAGCTCTTATTGAAGAGTGAACAAATATAAATTATTGTGTACAAAGCTTTTCTTCCTTATCCTCAACATGATCTCTTGTGAAAACATTGTTCTAGACAATACATATAAAAGTGTTTTTTGCAAGAGAAAAAAAATAATATCTCACCCATAATTCAATCCCTTGTTTGTCTTTATTAACTTTGGAATAGTTTACATATTGGTCCCACTAATGCAACAACGAGAAATGTTAACAACACATCTAAGACACAATTTTAAACACACTCTATTTGATTGGTTGAGATTTATTGAAATTCACAAAATTTGATGGGTCTTACATCCTATTTTATGACTTGTTCTTTTGATTTTGTTGTTTTCAATTAATTTTAACAAAGAGAAAATGTTGAGAATAAATTTGTTAGAGAGTGAATTACACTAACACTCCTAAGGTTTTGTGAAATTGCCCACCCACTTCTTTTTTTTTAAACATTTACAGTAACCTCCCTAATTAACAAGAGTCATGATGTAACATTTTTTAAACAATTAAGGAAGTTAATGTAATATTTAAGGGGTTTCAATATGATGTTTTTTCAAATTAAAAGGGTTAATGTAGGGTAGAAAAAAATAAGAAATATGTATGTAATTCATAAAATTATAAGCAGTATCTATGTAATTTATTCAAAATGCTTATACATAAATATTGAATTTATGAAAATTTTATGACTATGACTTGATAATAAGTCATTAATTCATATTTAATAACTAACTATTATACTTTATTGAGGATATTTTTGTATATCACGTCAAATATAATGATCCATTTATTAAAATGGCCTTTACTGGTCTTAAAAAAATTCAAACCTTTTTAGACATTTTAAGATAAAAAGAATTACATTTTATCAATAGTCAATTTTGTCAATGTTGAATGTAATTGTGGTTAATTTTTTTTAAAACAAATAAATTAAAGGTGTCAAATCAAACATCACTAATGCATGAATGCTCATACACATACACCTTGCATAACTCCAAGTACACTTTTCAAGATTCTAAAGAAAACATTCCAAAGGACTTGATCATTTGAGCATAGCTAATTTCATGCTCTGCTAGAAGAGGTAAACTTATGGGTAACATAAGCTCCTAATGCCACAATCACAAGAATTGCAACACCCATGTTTGCAACTAAAGGCTTTTCTTCATCATTCAATTTTCCTTCTCCAATTTTTGTGACAACCTCCGAAGCCGAAGCAACTACTTCTTTGATTCCCTTTCCTATTGTGTAGCTTTCATCTTCTTTACTCTTTCCTTTGTCAACGGTTTTGGTCTCTTTTTCCTTCTCTAGAGCTTTGGGGGCATTGGACCCTACTTTCTTTGGCCTTGTCTCGATTTCTTTTCCTTGAAAAGCCTCATTTTGATCAATGTATTTCTTACCTGAATTTCTTGTCTCATGTGGCTTCCCATCTTTTTTATCTTCCTTTGGCGTGACATTTTCATTCAATCTCTTTTTGACTTTTTCTATATATGTTGTGATGTCATTTTGCTTAATTTCCTCTCCATGCTTATCTTCTATTTGTTTGGTTGGGCCCATTGTTGATGTGGGTTTTGGCTCAAATTTCTCTTGAGCATTTTGAGGTTTACCTATTTTTCTCCTTGGGGTTAAAGCAATTGTGGGTTTCAACATGGTTTCCTCTTGAACATTTTGTAGTCCTTTCTTGTCTCTATTAGATTTCTCTCCTTGTTCCAATCTAGTTGTTGGAGATTTTGGAGGCATGACTTCCTTGGCCATTTCTTGAGGCTTTGGTTCATGTCTAGGTTCTTTTGAAGGAATAATTGGAGATGGGTCTTTTCTTTGGCTTGTTTTCACTTGTGCTTGAGGTGAAACTTGTGAAATGGGCTTCTTTGGCATTGTAATAGTGAGAATTCCCAACTCATACTTGCCCTGAAGTTTCTCCACCTCAATATTTTCTGGAACAGGATATGTTTGCTCAAAAATGTTTATTTTGTTGCCTCCTAATGGTCGTTCTCCTGAAACCCTCATTACTCGAGAAGACCTCACAAAATTGATCTTTAACTTTTCCTTTATGAAACCTGTATAACACAAGATAATGATGCATTAATTTCCATTAGAACGACTAAAAATGCATGCATGTCACATTTTATCTTTTGCACAGGTTTTAGTGTTTGAAAAACAGAATAGTTAGAAAAAGAAATGTAAATTATATAAAACACTTTTGGTAGGATATGATTACATATCATATCATTTTTCGGCAGAATCTTCCAAGTTTAAAATTGGTAATCAATATATATTAAGTTGTGTCAATTAGGAAGAGAAACATGAAAGGAGAAGAGATTACACTTTAAAAATTGCTTTGAATTTATTTTTATGAAAAGATAAGGTAAAGGGAAACCTTTTTTCTTCTTTTTTCACTAAGATTTCAAAGTTTTGAATAAAAGTAAAATGGAATCATTCCTTCTTCTCATTCCTTTGCAAATAAATGATGAGAAAAGGATAAAAATACTTTGATCCTATTGATCAAGGGTGTATCACTGATACACGGGAAGACCAAAAGAGATTCAATTTAGAGAATAATTGTAAGTTCAAACTACAATTTGTTCACTCATAATTACCCAAATAGTCTTTAATACCAAGGAATGTCCTTATTAGAGAGAAATGTTCATCACACATGATTATAGTTTATTTCAAGGGAATTCTTATCATTCCTTGATTAGTAATTAACATATACATGATACTAGAAAAGAATATAGGTAATCTACACACTCTCAAATTACAAACACACTAATATTTTAGTATGTAATACATAAAAAAAATAATTATTTTATATAATTAAAATTTGTAATAAATAAATATTTTAAATTACATAGATTATATTATAATTAAAAATTATTATAAATAAATATATTTGAACTGATGAATTATATTTTAAGATTATGATAAGTAATTTATTTTATGATATGAGGTTACTTTTAATATTGATAATTTTTTTAAAAAAATTATTAAAAAATAAAGATAAAAATGATGGACCGAGAGAGATAAAAAGTGGGGGAAAAAACTCTTGTTGAATTGTAATAACTTTTCAAAATACTTTTTCATTTATAGTTATTATAAGTTAGATTGAGATCAAATATGTCCCGGGACTATCATTGTGTAAAATTGAATAAATTCTTTAGTTTGGCTTTAATGCATTTTTAATCTTTAAAGTATTGTGATTTTAATTCTATAAATTTTAATTAAATAAATTTAGATGTATTATAAATGTGTGATTATGGTCCTCAATTTTTAATCGAGTAATTTTAATTTCTCAAGTTTCATAATTATATTATTTTAATCTTTTCTATTAAAAATGTAATAACTTTTTTTATTCTATATTAACAAGTTACATGATGTATCATTATATCTAATTAATTTTTTTCTAATATATTTTTATTAAATAAAATATAGAGGTACGAAATGTCTCGACCTCAGTAATATGTAATATTATAAATAGATGAACATTTATATAATTTTAAAATTAATATTTTTTTAATAAGAATGATTGAAATTATAAAATTATGATATTTAAGAAACTAAAATTGATCAATTAAAATTTAGTGGACTAAAACCCAACAACTGCAATATTTGAATAACTAAAATTACTCGATTAAAATTTTAGAAACTAAAATTATACAATTATAATACTTAAAATATCAAAATCCTAATTACACCTTTTATTTTACAACAAAACGCAAAGAAAGTTAAATCATTTACATAATTTATCTCGTTTTAAATATTCTCCCAAGCAACATTTCATTTTGATTATTGTACAAGTTGACGTCGCAAAGCCATTTTGCAAGTTACTTTTCGTCTAACTATTTCATATATATGCTTTATTATTTGATTTAATAAATAGTAAATGTTAAATTAATTAGCATAGATAGTTTTATTTAAAGAAAAAAAAATATATGAAAGTACTTGGTAGAGATTTATTGATCAAAACTGTTCAAGTATAATGAATGTAATTTAAAGTATTTACAATATAATAAAAATGAATAGATGAAGTATAATAATATTTTAGTAAGAAAAGACGTGGCATGCAAAGTACGCACCAGAAAGGTAAATATGAAGAAAATATGCTTCCTCTGTTTCCTTCAACTCTGAGTAGGGCACGAAAGTTTCATACACAGGACGAATGTTAGTTGTTCTTGTTCTACTTGTTCTTTGCCCCGAAGCCATGGCCCCTGCACGTGTCTTTTTTATTATCTCACAAATTAACAAGAATTCTCTTTATTAATTTGGATAGGTTTAGGGGTTGGAAATGTGGTTATATATATGTATACATGTAACCCTAGCACGCTTTTCTTGTTCAAGAGACTATTCCTTTTTGTGTAGTTTGGTTTGTTAATGTAATTGGGTTACATTTTTCCATTCCCTAGGTGACTTGAGCTTTCTATAACTTCTTTCCCAAATAAAGCAATTGTTCTTTGTTTTTCCTCTACACTTGCAAATATCTAGCACAATGTGAAACACGATACAACTAGTTTGCTTGTCATTTCAGTTCTTTTTCTTTTTCTTTTTCTTTTAATTCTGCCAAAAACACTTTTGATTTTGTCTTACTATTTTCTATATCTTTTGTAGAATTCATGCTATACTCTCTCTGAAATCTGATATTCTTATTTCAATGTTTTTAAAACTCGAATAAATGATAGATTTGGTGACATCATTAGGGTGAATCATATGAACTAATATAAACCATTATAACATAATGCACGGTGACAAAACTTAATTTTGAAGAAGCCTTCAGGAATAGGATCGATTCTTCTTCCTCTTTTTTTTATTTTTTTATTTAAAGGATAACTAGGATGGATTGTTGAAGGAGGCAAAATTTGCATTTTCTTTGTGTGTCTTGGGCTTGGGGAAGTATTGCATCTTGGGCTTTAAGTCTATAACTCTGGATTATGGTTTTAGTTCAATCATGAAATGCAATTAAACCGGTACAAATTGGGTTGAACTTATGCCTAATAGTCTCTTTGCTCGATGGCGAGTTGCATTTTGGATTTGGTTCAAGGCAGATTTGATGAGGGTGATTTATAGTTTATTACCATACTTGAATGCTAAACAAACCAACTATGGATAAAATAAAAATAACTAGCTGCAAATGGATAAAATTATTTACTATTTTATACAAATTAAAATAAAATGCCTCGCTACACAATTTCTGATTACGCGCATGAAGATTACAGCTTTTATATTATAATGTGATATTATTGGCAAATAACTTTGAATCTTAAATGTGACAAGAGTTCGATATCTGACATGTTTATAAGAAAACATTTGTGGAGAAATCAACTTTTTAAATTGATCCCAATATTTAAAATACTAGTGGTTAGCTTTTGATGAGGGCACCCTAAGATTTTAAAATAAAAATAAAATTGCAGCTTCTATGTGGGAAATCATGCACCATAAAATTCGTAATGCTGAAAATATTTGATTTATGCATCTGTGATGTGAGACTCTACTTCTATCACTGTTTCTTTTCTGCCTTTATTCGACTTGGCAACATAAGGGATGCGGGAGGCCTAGTCTTGTGATTGAGACGCTGATGAGTTCTGATAATGTTTTGGGTAATAATTTGAATATTTATTTATTCTCTCTCCTCACTACCCACCTTTTTTTTGAATCGGAATTTCAAATTTATATGCGGAAGAATAATCATGCAAGTCAAGCTTTTTAGACTGGATTATTCAGGTCCTCCATTGCACACTTTTTATTAGTTTTCATAAATAACATCAAACATTGAAAGTTGTAAACTTGATCAACGAAATGGTTTCAGTTTAATATCATCATCGTCCAAATAGTTAAGGCTATTGGGTTTGATGTTATATACTAAACAATAGGAGGAAAAAGAAAGTTAACCTATAATTAGCGAGGGCATTGCTTATATGATGCACAGCTAACTCTACAGCACACGTTAGACACATCCATTATTATAAATAAATAAAATATTAAATAATCAGTAATAAAAAGTTATAAAAAAATAAAAATAAAAAAGTGGCATTTTTCAAAAATCCCTGCTAAACACGCACACTAAAATAGCAGTTATTAATTTTTGCATTTAAATTTTCTCCTACAAAATCTCGAAAATCAACCATCTTACTGACATGTTGATCAAACAAAGCAAAAACATTGAACTATTATCCATGTAATTCAAATTCACGCTAGTAGTGAGTAGATAAATGCTAAAAATACATGTAGAGCATTCGCCAAAATTTAATAATATTAAAAAAAAAATTGTCAAAAACAGCTCAATTGACCTGTAAGAGTAATATCCGTACTAATTCAAGAAAATAAACATGAAACTATAATGAACAACATAAATCGGGAATTGCACTTACGAATAGCCTGATTTAACCGACAATTGCCTGGGACTTGTTTAGGATCACACCTTCGTATTTAACTTGGAACCACTTCATTGCATCCTCCTTAGTGACACGATGTTGGATTCCAACACGAGCCTTGCAACGACGACGACGTCCCACGCGATAGCCAGGGCGCTCAAGAACAACAAAGAAATCCATTCCATAAATACCAGTCGAAGGATCATACCTGAAGCACAAAAATGTTAAAACAACATAAATAATACAACATCTGTTTCTACAGATAAAGAAAGATATTTTGAGGTCCACAAAAAGAACATGAAACGGGGCGTAATGATTTCTTCTTTTTTCAAATAGTTAAATATTTATAGCAAAAAAAATTAAAACGATAAGAGCATGAGTAATTAGTCTTTGCACAATACACTAACACTATCATCCCATCATAAACGACCATTAATGAGTTTACAATGCATAGAAATTTAAATTAAAATCAATAAATAATAGGTTGAAAAAATACAACTTAATTTTCATGTAGTATAGAATCAAATATCATCTGAAGGATAATTTTAAAATAGTAACTATAAAAACCAACAAACTTGTCACACTTAGCAATCTTTGATGGATTTAATGCGTATGCCTTAGCGGTGTAAGTCAACCAATTAGAAACCATCTTTAATTAGGCCATCTCCAATGGCGGTTCTTCACAGAGCTCTTAAATATAAGAACCGATTCTTATAAATTTTACCATTGGAGTAGGATGATGTAGATGTTACGAATAAGAACATTTCTTATCTAAGAGCATCTCCAATAATAGAACCTATTTTAGGTTCTTAATCTATTTTTTGTGGGTCCCTCAATGCCACTCAGGATGTAAGAACTTTCTATTTTAACTCGCAATGGAAGAATGTGACTAGAGTCTTAATTCATTTTCTAGACCAATTTTTATTTATTTATATTTAAGTGAGAATTATAAAATATAACAAGTCATCCATGTCAGCATGCTCCAATGGTAAAAATGATAAGAATCAATTCTTATATTTAAGAACCTAGTTATTAGTCAAGAACCCTCACTAGAGATGGCCTAAGATCTTTGAAGAACCCATTCTTAAACATAAAAAAAATTATTTTTTTAACTATAATTGTAGAACTTACATAAAAGCCAAGTAGTCATGTTCTTCTATTGGAGCAAAAATTAAGAAACATAAAATAGGTTCTACCCCAGGAAATGCTCTAAGATTTTTAAAATAGTTATTATCAAATTGAACAAATTTATAATCTACAGAGATTTGTGATTAAATGAGTAGAAAACAATATTGATTATTTGATTAGTAAGAGAATTAATAATTCCAATACAATAAATAGATATAATAAAAATTGAGGGAGAAGCAAAGAGTTATAGTGCATAATAAGGAATTGAAATTACTTGATTCCCAAATCAATGTGCTCCTGAATGCCGAAGCCGAAGCAGCCAGTGTCGCTGAAGTTCCTCCTCAGCAGCTCGTACTCCTTCACCTTCAAACCACTCTCCAGAAGCTGCATCGCCTTGTCACCCCTCACCGTCACATAGCAAGCGATCTTCTCGTTTCTTCTGATCCCAAACGAACGCACAGTGTACCTAGCTGCCATTGCCATATCCATTCAACCAATCAATACTCATTCAACAATTGCAAAAAAAATATTAAAAAAAAATCACAATAACAAACAATACCTTTGGAGAAAACAGGGGTTTGGCCACTGAGTTGTTCCAAAACCTAAGAATGTGAGAGAAGATACACAAAATACAAAAAAATTAAAATAAAAATAAAATAAAATAAATTGATAATAGTGTCATTATAAATTACAAATAAATATTCAACCGTGCCTTGGCTGCGCGAGTGAGACGATCACCGCTCTCGCCGACGGAGATGTTGAGGACGAGTTTCTGGACCTTGATTTCTCGCATGGGATTGGAGAGTTTCTTTTCGGAAGCCTGAAAACGACGTCGTTCGTTACGGTTTCACAAACAAACAAAGGCACAAGAAGAGAAGAGAAAGAGGGTTAGGGTTTTACCATTGTGGAATCGGTGGCAGAGACTGGGACACGAGTTTCTTGCCGCGGCTCTGTTGTTGTGGGAATGAAAGGGAGGGAACTAGGGTTTTGCTTTCACGGGGTTCTTTTTTATTTTTGGTGAAACCCAGATTTCATCCATAGGCCCAAAGGCCCACAAGTGATGCGGGCTGTGACACAATAAAGCCCATAAAATCGGAAAATACTACTGCAAGAAGGACGTTCGAATAAAACTATGAATTCTAATTGCATTTAATTGTGTATTAAATTAAATTAGCATTTTAAAATATTTTAAATATTTTTTTAAAATTTTTGTGATATTAAATTAAGACTTTGGACTTATCTATAAAGATAGATAAATATTTTTTAACTTTTTTTAAACATGTTTACCTTTTAATAATTACAATTCTCTTTTATTTGTTAATTATCTTTATTTGTCATTTATACATCCTCTTTTCGAATAATCGCAATTGTAACGTAAGTTGAGTTTACTCTCTTTTTATGTATATGTTGCAATACGTCGAATTTATTTTTTTTAATATATTTTACTTTTTATTTAAATATATATATTTAAAGTAGCTAAAACATGTGTGAATTTTTTTTGAACAAATATGTTTTTCTGGTATTCCAACAACTAAATTTTTTTAAAAACTATATCAAATTTTGATATAGTTGAGACATTTTTTCACTTACAAAAGGTCTTATAATATTTGAAGAAGAAAAAAATACAAACTTTAATGAATTGTTCTGTGAGAAGAATTTTGTAAAATTTTTCAATAAAATTTATGTATTATATTCATCTAATAATCTCATTCAAACCCTTGAAATTTTGAGTGATTTTTATTTTTGTGTTTATCTTCTCTTTCTTTTCTCGTGTCCTCTTCTCTTAGACCTTCCTTGTTTCTTTCTCTTTTTATTCTTTCTTATATTATCACCTCACTTCTTTATTCTTTCACTTTCATCACAATATTTTCTCTCTTTTTCTTTTATTTATTCTCTCTCATATACTTCTTTTCTCTCTTAATCTTTTAAAATATTTGTAAAAGATTTATTTGTAATATTGACATATGAGAACAACAACGAGGCGGTTACAGTAGTTGCAATGGAGGTGGTGGTGATGTGGTAGAGGTGTGGTGACGATGGAGGAGACGGAGATAGTGACAAATGATAGAAAAACTACACTAATAGTGGTATATGATATCTTTATTTGTATTTTTTTATCTAAACAATTTATTTTAATCTAAGGATTATTATTAGTTGTTCTCATATTTTTTATATTAGCAAGTATATCTATACCATTTATTTGAAACACACTATTCAGTTGTTTGGTTTTCATAAAGTCGTTGTCTCTTTGATTATACACAGGGTCACTACTTCTAGTATTTCTCTTTTATGGAATGGTAGTAAAATGAAAGGATTTACTATGATGTAGCCTCTGCTAGAGTGACTTTCTCTCCCCTTACTTGTTTGTCATATGCATAGAGTGATTAGGGTTTATGATTCAAGAGGTGGTTTAGGAAGGTCTTTGGAAGCTAGTTCACATCTCAAACAAGGGGCCATTAATTTCTCATTTGTTTTTTTTAATGATGTGCTTCTTTTTGTCAAGTTTGAAGTCTCCCAAGCTAACCTAGTTACGAAAGTGGTCAGGATTTTTCTGTTATCTCCGACATGAAGGTGAGTCACTATCTTCAGCATAAAGGTGAACATGGGCAAATCTCATTTTATTGCTTCTAAAGGGGTCACTCTTAGACTTAAGCAAGAAATTTCTCATGTCACTCACATACAACCCACAAATAGGTTGGATAAATACTTGGGATTTAAAATTTCCAAGGGTGGGTCACTCGTGCAAACTTTTTTGTTCTAACTACGTGTGTGTATGTTAAGCTCACAAGTTGGAAAAGCAACATGCTTATATAAGGTAGGGTGCATTATGTTGACAAAAGTGATCCTTACTACCCTTTTCTCATATGGAACAGGTTCTCTAGTATCCCCACTACATGTGTGATTACATTGATCGCGCTATGCGACGCTTTATTTGGAGAAGGGACACTAATATTGGTCTTCATATGGTCAACTAGAAGAAAATGACGAATGTAAATAAGTTTGGGGGTCTTAGGTTGCGTAAGGTTAGGACTCAAAACACGGCGTTGTTAGGTAAACTAGTGTGAGAGTTATTGCACCCGTCCAACTAGCTATAGACTCATGTCATAAGGGATCGATACTTCAGGCATGGTAACTTGTTGTCTTGTTGGGGAAGCAAGGGACCATGGTCTAGAAATCTCTAGTGAAAGCCTTGGTGACTCTAGAAGACGATTTTTGTTTGAAGTTAGGGGATGGGAGTTGAGATTTTTGGCAAGAACCTTGGGTTTTTAAAGATCCACTAGCCAACATGGTTCCTTGGGTGGATATTCATGATATGGATTTACAAGTCCGTGTGTTTCTTGGCACCTAGATAATTTGTTTGCCTCCCTTTCTAGTGAGGTTTTGACTTCTATTGATTCTCTTTGCCCTTATTTTGTTGATGGCATGCCTAATTCATGGATTTGGGGCCATAATATTCAGGGTTTGTATATAGGAAAATCAGCTTATCATTGGTTGGATAGGCGTGATCACTTGCAATGTGTCTCTCATTCAAATTGGGTATGGCAACTTAATCCTCCTACGAACGTGTAAACTGGGAGTTAGAAAGCAAGATGAAGGAAGCGTATCAGAGTTGTTCAAGATAGGTAAACTTTGAGGACAAGTTTCTTTTTAGGAGAGAAAGTTGTAAAATCTCAATTTTTAAAATAAAATAAAACATGTTTTAATAAAAAAAAATATTATAGGCTTAATTAATTGAGATTAAATATAAAATAAATATTTTATTTAAATAACAAAAATAGGTTGTAAGTGGGGGAAAAGTATTAGGTTGGACATTAAGCCCAACCTAAAATATTTTAAAAAATAAAAAATAAGAGTAAGGTTTTCCTTATTTGTCTTTCTAAACCTTAAAAGCCCTTATAGAGGAGAAATTAAAGGAAGTAACTAAAAAGAGTACGGAGTAGGGACTGAGGCTGTAAAGAATGCACTTATGCTATAGAATTGTCACTCGAGGTAAGTAGGAGTGAAAATGTCAAATTTGTGGGCGTATATGAAGGTTATAGGTAGTAAGGTGACCCTTTAGCCTCCTAGCTTTCTATTTGAATTTCTATGAGTGTCTACTATTGTTACAAGTGTTATGTTATCTTAGTAAATTCACACATATATTGTGATTGAGTTATTTTGATAATGAATTGCCTTATGTTTTGACCATTAGGGTTATATGCATAATTTGGGGATTTTGAGTTTATTAGATGACTTTGAACAAATAGATGATTTTGCATTATTATGAATGGATTATTAGATTGTTTGATTGTTTAGATTTAGAAAAAAGACACTTGGAGATGTGTAGATGGGTTTGGATGACACTAGATCGTGTTGCTCACAATTTTGTGACATGTAGAATATGTGGTAGCATCAAGCACACCTTCAATGCATAGGGCATGTCAAACCCAACTTGGGGAGAGCCACGCTAATTGTGGAGATGCTAGAAAAGTCTCTAACTTCTCTACATTGGGCAAGAGGTGTCTTGCTTGGAATCATGTAACATCATTTTGGAGAAAGCTTTGATGTCAAACTTGACCTAGATCACACTAAGTAACCACGCTTGGCACAAATCGGGTAGAGAACTCCTTGACCTCCACACACCAAGCACAAACACCACCACATTGAACGTGAATTTGAGAGAGATCCCATATCTCTTCGTATTGGGCACATGTTCGACCTCATTGGGTTCCATGTCATTATTTAAATTAATTGATGTTTATGAGATAAATAAGTAATAAAAGAGCTTGTGAGGAGTAGCTACGTTGAATTAAGTGAAAGGAACAAACAAGTTAGTAATCATGTTAAATAACTAATATATAAGGAAGAACTATAAGTGCATGAGACTTAATGTATACCTTGATGTAATGTGAATAAATGAATAGTAGAAATGTTATGATAAGGATGTAGAAATGGGGAATGTATTAATTTGTGAAGAATGAATGGTGTTGATGTATGAAGATAATATCATAATAATGATGTATGTGGATGAGATATGGTGATGAGATGTGATGTTGTTAAGTATGTAAGTTCAAATTGTGACTAACAATGACGAGATCCAAGTAGTTCTGAGATGACTTACCACATGACACAATTGCAATTCTCATCCAATAGTCTTATTACTACCTATGTTTTTTAGTAACTAATGTAACAAAACCCTAACTTGCATGTAACAAAAAAATTATATAACCAAATATTGATTTGTCTATATTGTAATATGACTTACAACCACCAACCTTTATTCCAACTATTAAATGCATCAAAAAGAGAAAATGAGAACATTGTACAAAAAGTTGCAAATGTAGATTGTCATAAAGCAATATATTAAAAATAACATATAAGGTCCATTTGTATAAACTTTAAAAAAAATGTTGCTAAATGAATGCGTTAAAAAAACTTATTTAAAAATGCAAATAGAAGTTGCTTCTTAAAAAAAGAGAAAGTTACTTATTTTAAAAAAAATAGACAAACACATAAAAATATAAAAAGTTCTTATATAGAAACGTTTTTATTGGAAAAAAAAGTTTAAACAAGCAAGATATTAATAACTTAATCACTACTATATAGATTATATAGTATACACCTATGAAGGATGAAAACTATGGGGTTTTGATATTAACGACTCTAGTGTCTCAAATTTGAATCATTTGAAAGTCAAAGATCAACCAAGGATGAAGAAGGTCTCTATCTATTCTAATGATGAAGAGACAAAATAGAATTGAAAGGATAAGGAAGAGAAGAAGAAAGAGGAAGAAAAAGAAGAAAGAAGCAACACTAGTCAGGGTTGCTCCCTTTTTCAATCTCCCCAATAGAGGAAGAAGAATCAAATTAGGGTTGGAAAAAACCCTACTCATGTGAAGAAGAGACATGGCACATGTCTTCAAAAAGGTTAGGAGAACACCATTCTAAGGTTCCTCATAATGAGTTAAAAGTGTTAAATGATTTCCCTAACATGTTCCAAGATTTGGAAAATCATTTTGAAGCCAACAGCAAGTTTGAGGAGAAGACTTTTGGGTGTGTAAAGGATG